ACGCTCTCCTCGCCGCAAGTAAAGTAATCAATGGTAAAATTGGTTTATGAGATAGTCAGATTGGTTTTGGCCACTTGGCTGCTCGATTGTCCAGACACGCCCCCGGCGAAATGAAATTTGATTTTCTCGGGCAATTTCGCGGCCAAATCACCTCCGAGTGCTCGTAACCTCGTTAGGGCAGCTCCGCGGTATTGGCCTCATTGACTGCTCAGAGCCATCTTTAAATCTTTGTGCCTGGACCACGCTCCCTCAGAGATGCTCAGGGACGACACTTTGCAAAATCGGAGCATTGTCCAGCGGAATTTCTGCGAACCGTTAATTTCGCCATTCGTATTGCAAACGAGAGTCGCCACGTGGTCCGACGTAGCCAAGTGCAAAGAATTGCACGTGTGGCTGCTGGTGTCGCTGGTGTCGCTGGTCTCCCTTAATTTCTCAGCTCGCACAGCCATACAGCCATACATGCCATATATCTCAGCTCAAATAGAAACATTCTGGGCGGCTCGATCAGCTGAGATTTCGCCCGAGTAGGACTGCTCGTGGATTTGCGATAAGATGGCGGGACATTTGTTCTTAGTAAAATGACTTGTGATCGAAGGACTACGACGAGGAGTCTGAGTGCGGAATCGGTTGCGGAGCCGCATGCGCAGTCGGTACGAGAATATGGAAAGATCTCTGTAAGGAGGGGAAGTGGGAAGTGTGGGGTAGGGGGGTAGGGGGTGTGGAATTATTCCAGGGAGAAAAAGAGTCTCTTCGAGTGTGGGAGGAGCGGGAGGATTCCACCCGAGGCCGCCACGTTAAGAGGCCACGATCGAGAATCGAGATAGGAGTCAGCAGGATCCGCCATTGATACGGTGTCGGCGAACCCGCGAACACGCACGCCCACCGTGCGAGCGCAGCTTCCACTTACATGCCGACGGCACCGCCGCTTCGCGCACTTTTGCTTTTCTCGATTCCCCGTGAAGGTTCGTTAAAGCGCAACCGGAAGTACGAGCAGAACTGCCAAGGAGTTCCGGAAGCAGACAGTCGACGTGCCGACTGCGCCAGGCGGCTAACATTCTCCTACCTCGCAGGCTGAACCTGTGGACTCGCCTCAATATTTATCGAGAAATTTGCGAGAGACGTTCGGGAGACGTTCGGGAGACGTTCGGGGGAGGCCTGCTGGCGCCGGACGACCGAGCAACCTCAAGGCGAGTGCGCAGCGGCGCATTGAAACTCTTTCGTTCGAGGCATTCCGGGCATCGCGACGCCACGTGCCCGTCTGGCTCCTCTGCACGGCAGGCGCCACCGCAACACCTGTGACTCGTGTGACTCGTGTGACTCTGGAGATAACTGGGAAGAAGCCTGGCGGCGCAGCCGACGCTCCCCCGCGCTTCCTTGCTTCTCGAGAAGGCGTCCCGACGCAGCCAGCGCTCCGTGCTCGATCGTCGATCGCAGCAGAAGCGCGACGCGCAGCGCCGGCGGCGGAGGGGAGGGCAGGACACTCGGCGCTGCAGCGGATTCGCACGGCCACCGGATGTTTACAATCTGCCACTTGACTGCTGGGCTGTTCCGTCGCTCCGTCCCTCTGCAGCCACCGCGTGGGGACGGATGAGCCAGGATCAGTCGAGCCGACAATCGGTGCACCCGCGACAATTGACTAGTCGTACTTGGGGAATGTGAAGAATGTCCACGGAGAAAGTGGAAATTCGGAAGTGTGCGTCGACTGCAATCGCGACGAATGTGCGTGCGTGCACGGCAGCACGGTGGCGGCTACGCACACTCGCGCTCTGAAGGCACCAAAACAAATGGTCACGTGACGTCGGCGACCCTGCGGGCGTCGGCGCAGGGCGTCGCGACGAGCTGAGTCCAGCAACTCTTCAAAGATTGGCCTACAGGAGTAGCACCACCTTAAGGGAGAGGGAGCCGAACGGCCAACTCGAAACTTTAATTGATCTCTCTCTCTCTTTCTCTCTCTCTCTCTCTCTCTCTCTCTCTCTACAAGAGCAGGAATCGCAGCGACGTATCTTATTGTTTCCGGAGCACAGACTTCATCTTCCCGACAGACGAACCACCTGCTGCCTCTTCCCAGCGACTTCACGACTCGACTACAACCTGACAATCGTACCAACCCTTCCCCCCCCCCGCCTCTCTCACACACACACTTTCGAATCAACAGCAATCAGTACGACCGTTGGCTATACTGTCTTTTGGTAATTCCCAAGTAACGATGCTGCATCGACTTCAAAGCAAACACGGAACTTACTTCCACTTAACATGGCAGCAGCAACGCACGAGACGCGACTTACTTTTAGATGAATTTCAAAGAAAATACGGTAGCAAACTTAGGAATCGGAGGCAAGAGGAGCTGCGCGTAATAGGGAACGTTAGAAACCGAAGAAAGGATTGCGGCATACGCATATTGTGTTTAAGGCCGAACGTCCAACCCTAAACGTCTAACAGCGAGCGGCTACTTGCGGCACCTAGGACGACATGTGGCAGGCGGCG